GAAACAAACAGCTTCTCTATGCAAATTACAATTTCAGTAACAAACATGACTGATTTGTTGCTCTTATAAAGGCTTGGGAAAGGGAAAATATTCACCGAAACATCGGTCGGCTTAGATTCTTGAATATAACGTAGTAAGTCACTGCCTGATAAAGTTTGTAGCACACTGTGTAAATTAAACCGTTTTTTCGGCAGTATAACAATCATTTCAACGCCATCAATATAAGGGAGTTTGATTAGTCTTAACTGATTGTTAGCGAAATGATGAATATAACTTGAAAGAGACATCATATCCACCTAAAATGGTAAAATAAAGACTTTTTTGCAGTTACTAGCATATTTATTATTTATGTAAAATAAGCAATCTCAAAATGAACAGATTGTCACAAATCAGTAAAATACACTGTTCATCCTCCATTTTCTTCTCGGACTTCTAATATTCTAACTGCAAGATAAGGCAGCATTCTTCTTTTAGGTTTCGTACTTGTTTTGCAGCGTGCTTTTCTTCCACTTCATTCATGATATGCGTGTCATTCTTTACTTTCTTCCCTTGTTTCGTCTTCGTTGTTTCAGAAGTCCTGCAACAAAGGCTACATGAGCATCATCGTCATCGTTATGGTCTGCTACTTCTTTTCGCTTCTTGGAAATCACCTGTGATGTGGAAGGTCCTTCAGAAACTTGTTACCAATCATTAATGAACTAATCTGACTGACTGCTTGAATGTTTCTCTCGTATTACTACCATTTCCCCTGTTCTGTCATCTTTGACTAGCATTACTTTTGTTGCTGCAACTGATCTCGCTGGTATTTGCGCCATTTACTTCCATAGTCGCATCATGACATTGCCGTAAGATAAAAGTAGATCACAGAATGCAACAGAAACCAGAAATAATCAAGAAATAATGTCTTTCTTTACAGATCAGGCACAGTCCATCGTCTACGATTACCTCAAACTCAGACTTCAATAGCTAAACCTATATATTTGAGGAGATTTAAATTTTGTAAAAGATTTTTCTGGATATCCCACATTCTTTTATAAAATGTGATATAATTTTCATTTGATTTGTTTGAGTAGTTTATGTGATCGAATCTGTTCACTAGAAATTCACACAGCTTTTTGTTATAGTGACTAACATAAAAATTCTAATAATGGCTGTGAAGAATTTACTAATCTATCTTGATTATCATGCTGAGTCATGATGATTATCTTTGAATATGCATGTAAATTAACATATTTTGAACACTTTTGGAAAAGTATTCATAAATACAATCTTTAACTTTTAATCGCCTTGCGATATGATTTTTTTTTCAATTGACATATACTAGACAATGTCAAGATTTTATTGCCATTACTTCCGTGACATTGAAATTATGAGGAGTAATATAAAATGAAGCCTGTAACTTGAAAAATTAGAAGACTTGAAAGGAAAACAGATGGTACAATGTCATTTAAAATAAGGCTTTCTTATGGAAGTTTTAAAAATTGTTTTGCAAATTTTGCAATTACAAAACACAAATTTTTGTAATAGTAAATAAAATTTTTTGTATAATCAAATAATTGAAAGTAGAACGTTGGAATATTCTTGAGAGATGCTTAAATTATGAATCATTCAAGTTGTACTATAATTATCGCCATCATAAAATGATGAAAATAAGGGAGGCAGTAACTGTAGAATTCAATTTTTTCGAGACTATTTTTTTCATGAAAAATATTTGCAGTGCAATAATAATATCACTCATTTGTAAAGAATTTTGTGAATAAAAATAAGTAAATACAGTTCTTCAGTATAAAAAGACGATTGCTGCTAATAACGAAGAAAAAGTTTGATCTAAGATCATTTTATATTTATAAATATTTGTGAACTTACAGCATAAAAAGGGATGATTTTTTTGTCATAAAAGAATTCTGCACATATTTTGCCAAGCGTTTGAAAAAGTTGAGAGATGCAAGTAATAAAGTATATCCTTCTTTCTTGCAAGCTATCAACGACAAATAATTGAATTTGAATTAAACTTTAGGTTGGAAAATGATTACTGCAATGCAACCTATCTTGCATCTTTGCACATTCCTTCAGAACACCACAGAATGTCGAAATGTGTATGTTAAAAGCTTTTAAACTTTTTTTTTGAACTGAAAAAATATTACTAATAAAAAACTAACCAAATGAGGAATATTTGGATTTCTAACACAAATGTGTTCATATTTTTCAGCTCAAAATTAGAAATAATACAAACTAATTTTGCGCTTAATTTGTTGTACACAGCCAGAATGGAAAGCGAGTCAAACATCATGCTGTCACCATATGCAATGTCCAGTGCACTTTTTTTAATTTACGGTCTTGGAGAAGGCAAAGTTAAAGAAGAAATATTTGACTTAATGGCTTATGGTATATCATTAAATTTTTGCCTTTGTAAATAGTTTAATTTTTGGCATGCAAAATTTTATTTTGTATCAGTACTATGAGGTTTGAGATATTTATCTCTTAATCACAAGCTTAAGGCTCAACATTTGATGACTTGAGGTCGCAAATTACTCGTTTTGTGCATAACAAAATTAATATAATGGAAGAAAATTGTACTCTTATTACTGCAAATCGGTTGTATATCCCACGAATGTATCTTTTTAAACGTAGACTATACAGTTTGGTTCGAGTTCATTGGAAAGAAACTGTATATCCTTTTGATTTCAAGAATAAAACGAGTAGTGCTCAGGTAAGAATTACTGAAAATAATTGTAATATAAGTGCAGTATGTACTTCTTGATTATTACGTAATGATGGATATAAATGTTTCCCTATATTTGTGACAAGTTGATTCAATTAAAGGAATTAGCAGTGTAACATGCTGAAGTAATATTACAAGCTGTTAATGCAACTTTTAAAGTTTCGTTAATTAACGCGCAATTTTTTATAGAAAATTAATACGTGGCTTTTGAATAAAATTAACTTTACAAATGTGGAATTTATTAATACCAAAAATTTCAATCCAGTCATCGGAATTTTTCTATTAAATGCAATTTATCTGAAAGCCAACTGGAAATATGCAGTTACTACTACTCCTATGCAATTTTATAAATATGATGGCACTATAAAGCAGGTACTAAATCTGTTTATTTTAAGGCATTAAAAATTTTATTAAATTTGTGATTTTAAAAATTTTTATAAATCGTAAACAAATGTAATATACAAAATTTCTGTTCAAACATAATACCGTATACAAATAAATCTTCGTTCGAAGACACTAAAAATAATGTTATTAAAAACTTTTTTTTCAGCAATTGGTCATATTTTTGAAATCCTTAATGCAAAATAGGTTTTCATTAATGTATTTCAATTATTGTGTAGAAATTTTTTTAAACAAATAATTACACATTTGATATAAGTTTAACACTGTCTACTTTCATCTCATAACTTTTCTATGGATTAAACAATGAAAGCAAATTTAACTAAGAAATTTATTTCCGATGACAATGAATATTCACTATGGTAGGTTTTTATATCATGAAAACCACTTAGTACGCATTGTTAAATTGCCTCTTGCCTGTGATTCTGACGATTTGGATATGATTATTATTCTTCCAAAAAGCCGCTTTCATTTGAATGATGTAGTACGTTATTTGGAAGGAAAAGACTTGATCATTCTTGTGCGCACAGCTATTCCAAACCATATGGAAGTCAGATTTGTTTTTGAACTTTATTTGAATAACTTGGCTTTTATATTATTTGAAGGTTAAATGGCGTCCTGATGACATGCATTTGTAGGTACGAGTACCAGAATTCCAAATTGAACAAACAATGGAAATGAAAGAATTACTGAGTGAAAGATATCTAACAGAAACATTTACTACAGATGCTAATTTCACGAATTACTTCTTTCATTCTGTTCCTATTTCTCAGATAATTTATAAAGGTTCCATTGAAGTGAGTGATACCATCATATTTTAATGGACAAAAAGCACTTCTGAAGCTTGAAATTAAAACACAGAAGCTTTCACCACATACTACTAAAATTATCAGCAATGCTTTGAATGATTTTAGCAATGATGTATGAGTACAATTAATTCAGTCCGTCACTATTTGTAATTTTCAGTTTTACATTTTGTTTTTTAAGATCAAACCATCAGAAAGTAAAAGTGATTCAAGTGAAATTGATCAACCATCGTGGGTTCGTCGAGATGCAGTCAAATTCTTCGCTAATAAACCTTTTTTGTATATGGTTGTTAAAAATCTTGAAAATTTGCTGTTTTTGGGACTATATTCATAGTTATAGAGGAGTGCTCTTATCATGTCAGTTTTGTTAGATAGAAAAAATACCTGATTTCTGTGCTGCAAAATATTTTGCAAGTTAAAAAAGTAGTCAAGTTTGTTCAATTTTTATTTATAATATAACTGTGCATTTCTTTTTTCTTGATAGTATTCAGAGAAATTAATTGAAAATTTTTATAGATGCAAATTCTGAATTAATCAAAAATGTGAGCTTTTGGATGGTTGCTCTGATTAATTTGCCCATAAACTGATAAAAATTTTACACGCATGTTATCAATTATTTTGTTACTCTATTCATATACTTTTTAAACAAATAGATGCAACGAATAGAAATAATTTGTCTTATTTTAAATAAATTACTTTCAAAACTTTTTTACAATCATATTATGATTGGGCAAGGAAGAATAATTTGTACTGTTATACTAATTTTCTGATGAGAAATTTTTAAATTTTCATTTAAAAAAATATACCAATCTAAGAAAACTACTATAAGATATATGCTTGTTTAAATATGCTGAATTTACAAAACTTACTTATCAAGCAGTAAATCTGAAAAACATATTTCACACAGCATATTTTAAGGTTTGCAAAAAAATTGCTGCTATAGTATTTCAAAGATTTGTTTTAAAAAAAAGTAACAAACAGATATATAAAAATTGCTATCATTTAAAATCAGTCAAGACAATAGTTAATATTAAATTAGCAACGAGAGAAAATATATTTTATATAACTTTCAGGCATTATTTTTCATTTTTCGCTCACAAGAAGTCAGTCTTTGAAATATTAAAAAGTTTTTCAAAAAAAGCTTAAATGATTTACTCTATACTTATAAAACTATCGATAACTGATTATGTTGTTTATATTAAACAAAAATAATCATTTTCCAATGGTATTATTATTGTAAGAATATTGTATTTATTAAACTTACTGCGCAGTAATTGCATCCTTTCAGCATTAATTGTCTTTGAAAAGTGTTTGCTAATAAATATCAGAGCATTTTAACAAATTTTATTGTGAGAAAAATAGAAAGAATTACGCTTTACTTTCAAGGAGAATTTACTGAGATGAAAGCTCAACTTATGTCTGAGCATTCTAAACTCATTAGCTTTACAAATAAATATTCATTACTCATTTCTGCGTTCAGACAATCTTTTGCTGTATTTAGGAGCAATTATTTTTGATGGTATTTGCTTAAATCATATCGTCAATACTTTAAAAAAATCAAATATTAACTTTTATTAACTTTTCCATTTAAGAAAGTTTTTGTATAATTCGATTTTTGTCTATTAAATTTGTCGTGAATTATAGCGAAAAAAGATTCAGACTAAGTGCTTACATCTCAACTCATCAAGTAGAAGATATAGACATGCAAGGAAACTGATTCTTTTATCAGTTAAAAAATTGATAATTTTACTTGTTTGTAACAATTAAAAAAAGTTCACAAAATGAATTAAATATGAAATTTCTTAGTGAAAAATATTTTCTTCCATTATTTTACTTCAAAACTTTGCAAAGGTCAAAAGAACAGTGCTTAATTTTGATTTTGATAAAGTGTTAAGATAAATATTAACGAAAATATCTAACTTGATAATTTGTAAAAGTAGTCATTTAATATTGAATTTTTAAATATTGAACAAAGTGATTATTTGATCTCATATAAAAAGTAAAGAATAAAGTGGATAAATCGCTAGCAAATGTATACTGATCCTATTTCAGTTTATGCGTTTTCATTTTTTTTTCACAAATTTTATAAATTCGAAATTAATTATTGTTTAATTAAAACAAGGCATCGAGCTTAATTTCAATTCTAGATCATTTCTTTAGAAGCTTACCATCTGTTTTTTCATATTAGTAATGATAAATCCCAGTTGTTTCCTTGCATAAAGCTGTTTAAACAACACAAGTTAGTTCAGAGAAAAATATAATTTTTTACGAAAATATTTTTTAGAATTGATAGTACTAGGTTTGTATGCTTTATTCTTTTGTTAAAAAAATGCTTACATCCATCTGAACACGTATTATGTTAAGCTCTACATAGATGGAAAATAATACGTCATTAGTGCGCACACTTGTCCTTTACGTAAGCATCCCTTGTTTACACGAAAAATATTTCTTTTAAGTGAATAAAGCAAAACAGTTTTGATTTTTTAGCACCATCCTTTGAATCTAAAATAAACATTCAGTTGATATCTCTGAAAATGTTGACTATAAATATTATCCAAAAATAACAGTGCATTACAGAAGCAATTTTTTACAATAATTTAGCTGTTTTGTCAAATTTGTATATTGTAAAAGTACTGCAATGTTTTTGAAAAAAAAGTGTAAATGACTTGTTAGTGAATTTTTGTTTTTCTATTCAAATAAAAGTGATTACAAGACTAAGAAATCAAGATTACTTAGATTGCAAAATACTTCAAGTTCTTTATAATATGTAATCGTTATGTAAAATGCTCCTTATTTCAGAATTATGCAAATAGTAAACTCTGTGTTTTTTGTCTTTGCAAATATTCAAATTGTTTGCATTTTTGGCGAAATGTATGTTAAGAATGAAACTTTAAAGCATTTAAGTTAATAAAATATTACTAGCTATTTTCAAAAGTACAAAAAATCATTATTGAATCAAAATTTAAGCAGATTTTTGTATAATAAGAAAAAGTTTTCTCAGAAAATTAACTTGTGCAAAATCCATGTAATTACTTTGCAGTAATTACGTAGATTTTGCACAAGCTAATTTTGCTATTCGATTACTCCAAGAAACAGCAGAATATGGCAAATCCACGGTTATATCTCCAGTATCGATATCAACATCACTTTTTATGATTTATTACGGTTCAGGTGGCGCAACAAGACAAGAATTGAACAATGCGTTGGCAAACGGTACAAACCGTAAACAAAAATTCTTCGTAGAGAATTAATGAAAAAATAGTTCCAAAATAGTCCAAAAATCTTAAAGCTAGTGCTTAAACTGATTTAACGTTTATTCACTTTATCTCAGTAATCCTTATACCTAACTAATATACCAAAAAAGTAATGCAAGTTAACAGGTTTCTGAGTTGCAGAGTGATATCATTTTAAATTCAAAAAGGTAATTAAAATCAAATATTTTAGGGGCTAATGCAAGACACGTGCAGTTTTACGTCGCCAAGTTACTGACAGACATTGCTAGCTCTAAATACAAAAATTACAAATTGGATATAGCTAATCGTATTTATGTACGACCAAATTTACCAGTAAAATTGACTTTCCATCGTTTTATTCGATTGTTTTATCAAGAAGTGTTGCACGAAATAAACTATTATCAACGTTTTCAGATTGCTCAAGTAATGATAAAATTAACTATTACTAATTAAATAGTCAAGAATGATAAGATTTTTCAAGCAATTTAAAACTAGTGATGGCATCTTGCGTGCTGTTGACAGATAAGATTAATTTTTATTGTCCAAAAGCGATCAATTGAATACTTCACTGAATTAACGAATAAATGCAAATTCTCATAAATTACAATAAAAAGTTACTCAGAATGACTAATCATCACTTGCAGGAAGTCAATAATTGGGTTTCGAGTAAGACTAATGGTAAAATCAGCTCTATAATAAATGCAGACGCTTTGACTCCAAATACAAATATTTTAATTTTTAACGCTGTATACTTCAAGGGCGCATGGCAACAGAAGTTTACAGACACTAAACAAGATGCATTCTATAGTGATCCTTTTCACTTTAAACAGGCATAATTTTGATCTTGATCTTGATCTTGATTTTGACCTCAAATACTCTAAGGTCTGTATAACTACTCAATTAATTTTATTTGTGTTGCAGGTTGAAATGATGTCCATTACGGCTAAGTTTCCACTATTCTATGATAAAAACTTGATGCTTCTCAGACTACCATATATAGGGAATGAAGTTGAAATGATAGCTATTTTGCCAAGAAATCGTTTTAATCTGCCAAATGTTCTGAGAAATTTGACAGGCCAAAGTCTTCTCTATTATATTTATAACGCAAGGGAACATGAAGTGGAAGTAGTTTTTCATTCAATTTTACAAATAATCTCTAAAGTTTCATAAATACAATTTTGTAGTGATCCCTTCGAGAAATTTACAAAATTCTAGATTCAAAACTTGAATAATTAATTGAAGTAGCGATCATCATTAGTCAGATATAATGAATGGAAGTCCATTAATGGCTTATGTGGTTAGAAGTTTGTGAGTTTCAGCTGCATTTACCGAAATTCAAACTGAATGGAGATTATAACTTGAAAGATATTTTGGAAAAATTGAATATTACAAAAATTTTCCATGCTGATGCTAACTTTTCTGAACTTACCTTCCGGCAAATATTTGTTAATAATATTGTTCACAAAAGTTTCATTGAGGTTAGTTGTAATAAAATATACTCAAAGTTTTTCATTTATTTTATTGTTAGAATATTTACTCATTTTTTTCAAGATTAATTAAAAGAATTACTTTAATAATTTCAGTTAATAAATTCAAAAAGCTTCTAAATGCAATTGCAAATGTCAAGTGAGACTGTCGCTTAGTCTTTTTTTGTTGGTATTTTTTAGGTAAATGAAGAAGGAACAGAAGCAGCTGCTTCTACACGTGTAGAATTAGAAGATAAAATATTACCAAATATTGCATATTTTCATGCTAATCAGCCATTTTTGTTTGCAATCGTTAAGGATTCAAAAACTATTCTTTTTGCTGGACAGTTTTCTTGAAATTATTATTGAGTACTGAATAATTTTTCTGAGTAATCAAGTTATGAGGTAATGAATGTGTTTACTCTCTGACCTTTTTTGCTAATATCTTAAATAAAATACGCCCAGCATTTTGCCAAATGTCGTTACAAATTTACAAAACGAAATAGAAATTGAAGAAAATTTTTATTTTGGATTGCAATTGAATTACTTGCAATTAAGTCAGATTTACCAAGAAATCATAAATGGATTATTTTGTCAAATACTTTTAAATATGTGATCAATTTAATAAAATTATGAATTAAAAATATTTTCAGGGATTAACTTCGTTCATGTGTCAAAATAAAAGTAAGAAAGTAAGTACTAGATGAAGCACTGTGCTATGTACTTATTCGAAACAAGTATAGCCTGAAATACACTTTCAAAGACCAAATTTAAAAATTATTACGCTTTAGGCTAATCTTATCATTATTAAAATGATAAATATTAACACTGCAATCAGAATTGTTTGCAAGTCAAACATTTTATCAATATTTGTTCACTGTTTATTGGAAATTAATTTTTTATGCTTTCTTTCCGATATTCGGAGTAATACTGGATTTCAAACTGAGCAGACTGCTACTGCTAAGTAAATGACAAATTCAATTACATGCAGGATAAAACAGACGTTAATAATAACATGTTTACTGAATTAACAAATTTAGCGATGATAGAATAAACTAATAAAATTGAAAAGATATCTGGATGCAGCAATTTGCGTGTATGTCATTATTTTTGTAAAACAACTGTATTTTATTTTGATAATAATAATAACGTTAATGCAGTAAAAGACTAGCATGCAATTTTTGATATTTCAAATGTGATGGTTTCGATATGTTTGTTTATTAAACGTTTAATTTTCAAACGTACACAAATATAAAATTAGGATTGTAATATATTAAGACGTAAAACTGTTGTTATCTAAATTTTTTATGTATTTAACAAAGTTTATTATCTGTAATCAGCCACAACAAAGTGCTAAATAAATACTAACTTTAAAATTTTTCAGTGATTACTTTATTTCCTTATCAACAAGAGGAGTTGTATCATAACTCGAATATATTACGAATTGCAAGAGCCAAAATTATTTGCCAAATAATTTGTTGAAAAATATACAAACAGACTGAAAGATTACAAATTACTTACAAAGAGCGTAATAATAATGCAAAATCTTTCACTTTGTTTGTACTTGAAAAAATTGGATAAATTTTTTAAAAAGTGAAAAAGATATAGTAAAGTTTTTTTTAATTGCTTTAAAAGAGTAAATGTTTTTTTACTTTCATTTTTCATCTAATATACTTTCTATCTCATCAAATCCATTATAAATATGACAAAAAATTTGAAACACAGATACTGTATTAAGTACCAAAATTAATTTACGTTTCAGTTTTATCTGATCCCATTTGCTGTTTACAAAAATTAAAGAAGCAAAAATTATATGAATCTTACTGAAAACTTCACTTATTAAGCCACTGTTTTTCATGCTAAAAATGTAAAAATCTTTTTTTCATTACATTATTTAAGTAATGATAATACTGTTAAAATAATAAAAATAGTGCTGTTTGATTCCAAAATTTTACAGGTAAACAAAAGTTTGAATGACTTGTTTGTCAAATTTCTTTAGCATAATATTTGTTAAATAGCTTTTGTTTGTGCAAATAATTTTTTTTGTAAATATAACAGACTTCAGTAGTAAACCATTTCTGATTAAATCATAAATCATTTTCTGAAACCATTTAGTATATAAGATTGAAGATGAAAGTACAAAAACATTACAAACTTTGCATTACTTTGGTGACTAATCCATGCGAAGTACAAAATTTACAAATGATAACTTTTTCCATCTTATTCATAATACAAGACCAAACTTGGTGGTACTACTAATTAGTGCTAATCCATTTATTTTTTGCTGGCTTGTCTATGATGATCTTTGTTAACTTTTTGAGGCCTAACTTATTTCTCAAAACTTGAAGGATCCAAAAAGATTGGAATTTTTTCATAAGACAATACTTGATCTTATTTCTGCTTTCAAACTTCCTCGTAATTTTTATTTTCACATAATTAGCTATTCACTTTGAATAATTCTTTAAATATTTACTTGAAATATGAACTTTCCTTAGAATAAAACAGTGGCAGAACCTGGCTACTTAAATGCTTTTAAATTTCATTGTACTATATGTTGTGATATGCTTTTAATTTTTACACAGAACTTGCAATCTTCTTCCAAAAGCTTCTTGAAATATTTGATAATTGATATTCAAGAATCATATTATTAGTAAAATTGCTAGTAAAATTTGTTAACTTATTTGATTGTATGAATTAAAATATAGCAGATAGTATGAAAAACTGCTTCAGCTGTGATCGCAATTCTACTGAATTACTAAATTGAGATCACAGCTGAAGTGCAGGACGACTCTTTGATACTAATTCTACCAAAATGATTCGGAAATAAGTCGTGCGTTCTTTCAGAGTATCGAAAAGATGAATAATATTTGGGCTATTTTGTTATTCTTTTCCTTTGCAAGTGCAAGTATAATTTTTCCAAAAAACCAGCAGTAAGTTCTTAATATTAATATTAAAACAGTGACAGAACTTGATTACTGAAATACTTTTAAATTTCATTGTACTAAATGTTGTAATATACTTCTCAAAAAAACTTTTGAGTTTTAAAATCAAACTTGTCATTTCTTAAACACTCTAAATGTCATTTTCTACAAGAAATTGATAATCCTCTGTAATGTAATAAAAGTTTTGTAGCCAATCTATGGACGTAGCGCAAGCAAATTTTGCGGTTAATTTGCTGCGTGAATCAGTGAAAGATAGCAAATCCACAGTTTTATCACCGTTATCCATACATATGGCTCTTTTCATGTTTTATTATGGATCACTTGGCAAAACAAAAAAAGAATTCAAAGAACTGTTAGCAGATGGTAACTGCTTAAAATTTTTAGCAATTAATGCATTAAAATGAAATTTGAAAAAGTTCAAAAATGCTTACTTAATGAAACTTGAAATTTGATTAAATGATCACCAAACTTTTGACTGATTTTATTATGATAATGCAGAGAGGAATGCCATCAAGTATCAGTCAATAATAACAGTATATAATATGCTATCATAAAATATTTAACAATAAATGGTACTAAGATATTTCAGGTGTAGAAACAGAATCAGAAATTGTACGGCATATGGAAGATTTACTGCAAGATATTGCTGATTCAAAAGATAAAAATTACACGTTACGTTTAGCAATGCGTATTTACGTTAAACGAAGATTACCGGTTATGCATGGATTCATTAATACGTTGAAAGATTATTATGGTGAAGAAGTAAAACCATTGAATCCGAGAAATCCAGAAAAACTCGCTGAGGTATTTTTTACTAGAGAAAATTTTGTTTAATTGATGCTTTTTTTGCTACGGAAAAAACATCAGCTTCACATTTACGACAAGAATTAAAAAAAAGGAAGCTTGGGAATATGATTAATGCTTAGACAGATCTAATTATTTCTTACAGGAAATTAACAGTTGGGTTTCTAATGTCACTGAGCAAAAAATCAAGGATATAGTCAGTGTAGATGATTTGCGTCAGAATTTGCAAATGTTAGCATTAAACGCGCTTTATTTCAAAGGAACTTGGATGAATCAATTTAGCTCAAGAGATACAGGGAAAAAACTGTTCTACAGTTCTGAGGAAAACAGCCGCGAGGTTACAATTACAGTCTTGCTTTTCTCTGAAAGTTCTATTTTACATAAATGATAAATATGCTAGTAACTGCAAAAAAGTCTTCATTTTACCATTTTAGGTGGATATGATGTCTCTTTCAAGTTATATTCATCATTTCGCTAACAATCAGTTAAGACTAATCAAACTCCCTTATATTGATGGCGTTGAAATGATTGTTATACTGCCGAAAAAACGGTTTAATTTACACAGTGTGCTACAAACTTTATCAGGCAGTGACTTACTACGTTATATTCAAGAATCTAAGCCGACCGATGTTTCGGTGAATATTTTCCCTTTCCCAAGCCTTTATAAGAGCAACAAATCAGTCATGTTTGTTGCTGAAATTGTAATTTGCATAGAGAAGCTGTTTTTTTTTTCTAAGCTAACTAAATTGTACAAAATTATTAGTAATTATTCAAAATACTTTTTGGGAATGAATGAAGTTAAATGAGATTTGAACTAATATTATATTCAGTTA